ATTACCTGTACATTAAATAAACAAAATGAAAGGTCTTGAGCCCTCCAAACCCATTTGGAACCCCAACTCTGAGTTCCAGGAGAAACTCTGAGGGGGCCCTTTGGTCACTGCTTGGTCCACTCGGCTCTGGCAGGGGGTGAGAGCACGCCTTCAAGCGTGCGTGCAGGACCGCCCATCTCTGAGAAGCACGGGGTGGGTGGTGTCCAGTCCACCAGGCTTTGCATCCTTTCTGCTTTCTAGGGCAGAACAACTGCATCCCCCTGATTGACCCCTTTGCCAGGGAGAGCCTGGACGTCTCCATCTCAGTGTGACACCTCATCTGTGAGTCACCCTCCTCCTTCCTTAATCTCCAGGCAAGCCTGGGATCAGGCTGCCCTCATCCTAGACCCACAGAACCACTTCCAGCCGGACCCTGCGTTCCCAGAGGACGTTTCCACATACATTTGAAAACTCCCATCAACTGGCCATGGCCTGCATGCTCTGTGTTGGCTTGTGACCACAGGCACCTGACTCCCAGGCTAGCCTGCCCTCCCCATGCCTCTTCTGGACTCTCCTTTATGTTTCCAAATGGGTCTACCTGGCGGACATTTCCCACCTGGTGGGTTGGGGGGCACGTGTCTGCTGCCCCCAGGAGCCTGGGAGGTTGGGGAGGGTGCTGGGGAAGCCTCCCTCACCCCGGGCCTCAGGAAGCCTGTGCCGGGACAAGAGGTGGCCACTGGGAGGGTCAGGTGGTTACCATGGAGATGGGGCATCAGAGGGAGGTGGATGGTCCATCTCCTCCTCTGGCCAAGGCCAAGGCGGCCCCATGTGTCCTGCAGGTGAACTTCATGCAGACAGGGCCCTGAAACACTCACCTGGGCCTCCCTTGTGGGGCAGGTCCTAGTCCCCTCCCGCACCCTGAGCCCTGTCTCCCCACAGTGCTGCACCGAGCTGTCATGGTGGTTCTGCCCCTGAGCCTCGTCCCGTCTTGTGTGGCTGGATCTGTGGCCTCCTCAGCTCCCAGAGCGTCCCCCTGCTGCTTTTCACTGGCTGCTACTTCTTGCTGGGGGGTGAGTCTGGGGGCTGTGGGGGTCGCAGGTCCTGGGAGTGGGGTGCTGCCTCTCCTTTCACCCCATTGCTTGCTCCTCTCTGGGCTGCGCTGAGCCTGAGCCCACCCTAGGGATTGAGCTACAGAGGCAAAGGCACCCTGGGTGGCACCGGGGGCTTCAGAGGGGCAGGAGCAGGGGCTCTGGTTGTGGGCCCGGAGCCAGGGACAGGGGCAGCCCCAGGGTTGAGCTTGCAGGTGCGAGAGGCATGAGGATCTCCGAGGCCATCCCAGGACCTGCCCTGTTGGACCTGCACGAGGGGTGGGGCAGGACCTGCTCACTGCCTTGTCCTCCCCAGACTGTCCTGGTGGGAGGAGCAAGGGCGGGCAGAGGTTTAGCACTGGCCAGGCAGGGCCAGGCATTAAGATGTGGTGAGAAGGGGCCTCAGAGTCCTTGGCAGTGACCCCAACCCAGGCCCAGACTGTGACTAGTAACAGTTTATCAGCTGACATTCATCTAGACTGTGCTGGGCGCTGGGCCAAGCACGCCTTCAGGGACTCACGTGATGCTGTGCCATGGGCACTCGGTGGTCTCAGCTTCTGGCTGAGATGTCTGAGGATTCGCCAAGGTCAGCAGGAAGCTTGTCTTGGGGTCCCCTTCACTGCCTTTTGGTGCCACCTGCCCCCGCCAGCCACCCAGTGCTCCCAACTGCCCAAGGCTGGCTGTCGATGACAGTGGGCTGGTGGCTCCTTGGGGTCATTCCTCACTGGCCCCTGCCATCCAGAGCCAGGCCTGAGTTGAGTCTGGTGTCCTGGCCGTGGCACTCGAGGACCAGACCATGCGGGCCCGGGCTCCCTCCTGGGCAGGCCTGCTTCCTGGGGGGAGGGAGTTGGTGGGCCTGCCTGGCACAGAGAGCCAGGGGACCAGAGCCTGGATGTTTGGTTTAGACAATGACAGCAGGAGAAATCAAACTGTCAGCTGCGTCCTGACCCCGGAAACCGTCTGTGTGTGTCCCAAATCCAATTAAGAGGACCTTGGGAAGCCACTGAGAGGAGAAATTGGGTGGGGCTGTAACCGGGAAATCTGTCCAGAGGCATCCCGTGTGTGTGTCTGTGTGCCCGTCCATCCAGAGGCATCCCGTGTGTGTGTCTGCGTGCCTGTCCATCCAGAGGCATCCTGTGTGTGTGTCTGTGTGTCCGTCTATCCAGAGACGTCTTCTGCAGACACAACAAGCTCCTTCTCATTTCCAGGCTGGGGAGGACTCCCAGGGCCTTCAACTTTGGATCCAGGGGGCTTCGAGGGCAGGTCCTCTGAGCTTGTGAGGCTGTCCCTTGACTTCTCCCTCCCCTTGGCCCCACAGTGGCCTGTCCCACGGTTTGCTGGGGACAGGGAGTGCGAGAATTTCATCCTGGGCCTCTCTGACTGCACATGGGCTCTGGCTCTGGGGACAGGACAGTGGAAAAGACACACGGGGTGGCCGCTGGGATCCCAGGACTCCCTGAGGGAGGGCATGGGGGGAGAGGTGTGGCATCTGCCTCTTCCCTTCTTCTAGAACAGACCTGCCTGCCTCCAGGCTACATGCCAGTGGGGGGTGTGACTCAGCTAGGACGTGCCTCGCTCTCTGATTGGCCAGCCTCCACAGTGAGTGTTTCACAGTGCACTGGGTGGTCAGGCTGTGTGGCCAAGGTTATAAGGCAGATATGTGCCACCTGGGGGAGAGACCAGTGCATGATTCGAGGTCACTGAAAACAGACAACACACAGACCAGGCTCACATGGTATAGTGTTTACTTGCAGCAAGAGGAGAGCAGGAGAGTGCACCAGATCCAGCCCTTTGCAGTCTGTCTGTCCCCACGGCCTGTGGATCCACTCCACAGCCAATGCCGGCAGTGTGGCTGCTCCCCCCCCACTTCGTGCTGCAGTGGAAGGACCCCCCCCCCATGGGGTCCGAAATACAGAAAGCTGGAGGTGTGCCTGAGGACCACTGACTGGTGTGCGTAAGCAGAACAAGGAGCAGCAGTGACTCTGAAGCAGACCAGCTATTCCCTCACTAGGCGATGTCCCTACAGCTGCAGACCGTGTCCTCACAATCACCGTCCCTGACTTGCGGTGCCTCCATGGGCCTCTGGTCCTTGAGGACAAGGGACATGTCCTGACTAGGGTGGCCCTGCCTCCAGCAGGCCATGTTCTTCCTCCCGCTCTGGCCCCATCAAAGCCCTTCCTTCAGTGATGGTCCCCCTCCACCCTGTCCTCCTCCCCCCGCCCCCACCCCCCGCTCTGGCCCCTCCTCCCTCAGGCACATTTGTCTGCACCATCCTGCGGGCTGGCTCTGGCTACTATCCTCTGATGCCACCTGTGCCCCCACCCAGGACAGGGACCTCTGTGAGGACAGGGACCTCTTGTGAGCTCAGGGCCTACTCCCAGCCAGCACCCACGAATGGAAGAGCCAGCCTCCAGAACGGCCCCAGTCATCCTCGTCTTGGGGACTCACCCCTTGTGTAGTCCCTGCCACACTGAATCCAGGCCGACCTGGATGGCAAAGAGAATCCTGTGGAGGTGACGTGTGCTACCAGGTCATACAAGGCATGGCAGCTTCTGCCTCGATCTCTTAGATTGCTCGCCTTAGGGGAAGCCAGCCGTCACACTTCAAAGATGCCCACACGGATAAGAACAGAGACCCCCTGCCAACAGCCGGCACCAACATGCCGTGTGAGCGAGCCTCCTTGGAAGAGGATTATTCAGGTGATGCCGCCCTAGCTGAGGTCTTGACTGCAACTTCATGAGAAGCTCCAAGCCAGAATTGCTCGGCTAAGCCACTCCCTAATTCCTAACACACAGAAGCTACGAGAAATAATTACAGCTTTTTGCTGTTTCAAGGCACTACGTTTTGGGGTAACTCGTCGAATAGCAATGGGTAACTCGTGCAGTACATACTTGCTGGCACTTGCCCAGACAGGGCCGTGCAGGGACAGAGCGACAGAGGTTCTGAGTTGCTGGCTTGCTTTTGATTCTCTGAGTTGTTATCTCCCCCTCTAGCACAGGAGAGCAGTTCTGGGGCCTTGGGGAGCCCCAGATGCTGCATCCCCCAAGCATAGGTCTAGATTCTTCTAAGGGTGGGAGGGAAAGAAGGAGAGTCCTCTGCTTCGGGGCCCCTTGGTCTGCCACAGGGCGCTCCTCTCCTCCCAGTGCACACATGCACTGCCCTCAAGATTTCCACCCTGGGGCCCTCCCCCGCATCTGCGCCTCTAGCCCAGGCCCTCTCCTGAGCTCCAAACCCGTGTTTCTGGCAGCTTCCTAACTGCACCTGAGCTCTAAAACTTCACACTTCGTACACTGAAATCACCACTCAACCCTCGCAGAGCCTCGTCCTGGGATTCCTGTTAGGGGCTTTCAAAGCACTGATGTGACGGCACAGCTGCCCTATTAAAATACACACACGGTTGAGATACATACCTGCATATATCTCCAGAACAAAATATACTAAAACATTAATAGTTATGATTCTTGGGTGATTTTTAAAAATATACCTTGTCCAGGTCTTCTAGTTGACATCGGCAGGAGGGTTGGTCTTAACCCGAGTCTGCCGAGATTACCCCAGGAGTTGCTAAAAATGAGATCCAGTCCCACATTCTCTAAAATTAAGACATAGTATTTTATAAACAGAAAATTTTATTGTTTGAAAAGGTAATCTGTATTAGATGACTGCAACAGAGCCCCTGAGCTCTCACTGGCTCAGGGCATTCCTCTCTGTCTGTGGGGCAGAGGGCCTGCCCTGGCTGCCTCCCAGGCTGTGGGGAGGGGGCTGGGATGGGGTCCCGCCTGTCGCTGCCTGCTTGGGCACCCCGTCTGGACACAGAGGGCACTCAGGGCTGGCTGGAGGAACACAGTGGCAGCTTCATCCCGAGCGTCATGGGAGGTAAAGGGGTCCGAGGAGACGAGCCGATGACGGGGGCTCTGTTGACTGCTTGTCCTCCTGCCCACTCCCTGGGGACCCTCCACTCCCTGCCCGAGCCCAGCTGGGCACAGGATCCGGGCACCCTGTCCTCAGGGCCCCAGCTGCCTCAGCACGAACCCCCACTTCCTCAGCGCCAGCTCAGTGTCCTGTGCCGAGACGTCACGGTGCCACACAGCGCGCACCGACCGCTCTGTCCAGGGGAAGAGCAGCACTCGCACTGCGCGGCCAGTCTGGGCCACCTCATCGGCACTCACGGCCTGCAGGCGCCGGCACAGCTCCTCGGGCGGCGGCCCGTCCACCCTCACCATCACCATGTTCGTCTCCACGGCCGTGAGATCCACGGAGCAGAGGGGCGACGCCAGTTCCTGGAGCCCTGGGCCCAGGTCCTGTGGTGAGTGGAGCCCAACCTTGGGATCCCACTACCGCCCCCACCACCCAGCCCTGTCACCCAAGGAAAGGTGAGGGCAGCCCAACCATCGCGGGAGGAAAAGAGGGACCCTCAGTCCTGACATGGCCTTTGGAGTCACCAGACTTGGCTCTGCTGCTTTTTAGCTGTGTGACCTTAGACAAATCATTTAACATCTCTGGGCCTTGGTTTCCTCATCTGTAAAGTGGGGACATGATGCGGTTATTATGAGGACTCAATTAATGGATGTAAAGACCCAAGTTAGAGGCTACACTCTGCTGGATCCTGTAGGGAATAAGAATTCAGTGCTCACTGGTCTGGGCACCGTGCCGGGTGCAGCCTGGTCAAGCACTGCTGATTCCCTGGATCCCCCTGCAGCGGCTCAGCAGCTAACTTTCACCCTGCTAGAGTCGAAGGATGCATACCTGCTGGGGATTTGGGCCCCGCTGCAGGGGACCCCCAAGGCACTTGCCTGGGACCAAAGGGAAGGGAGGGTGGGAGGCTGTGGTCCAGGCACCTTTAGCGAATCTCTGGGCGTTCCGGTGGTCCCTCAGCAGCACCTCCTCGGCGTCAGCCAGTCCCACCAGGGCAGCTGCTGCTAGCACCCCCGCCTGGCGCATCCCCCCGCCCAGGGCTTTCCGGAGGCGCCAGGCTTCTTCGATGAAGTCCTTGGGCCCCCCAACCAGGGCCCCCACGGGTGCGCCCAGGCCCTGGGAGGAAGAGAGGAGAGAATCCTGTTCCTCTGCCCCCTGGGTGGGCGTCTCTGTCCTTGGGGCCGGGGGAGGGGGCGCGAAGGGGATGGGAAAGGGCGGACAAGGTGGTCCCATCTGGGGAAGGGTTAATGGGATCAGCGGCTGCCAGCACAGGAGCCCAGGAACCCAACTCAGCCGCCTGCTGCAGGCAACCCCACCCTCCTGTGTCTGGGGGGCGGCCCAGCGACTTCCCACCTTGGAGACACAGAGAGACACAGAGTCACAGTGCTCCACGATGTGCGCCGGGGGCACGTGCAGAGCCACCGAGGCGTTCATCAGCCGGGCCCCGTCCAGGTGGACCCGTACCCCGTAGCTCCGGGCCAGGAGGCGCACCTGGGGGCAAGGTGCAGGCAGAGGTCAGAGGGAGGGGAGGAGGGAGGATGGGTCTCCAGAAGGCCACTGGGCTTGGCTCCTCAAGGAAGCACGAGGGGTCTGGAGTCAGGAGAGCCGGGTTGGTGACCAGCTTGGCCATGTGGGACTGGAGCAGTCACTTCTGCTGCCTGGGCCTGGGTGTCATCCTCTGCGAAAGGCGGTCGATGGAAGGTGTTTTATTTCATGTTTATGGTGTGCTCACCGTGGGCCAAATGCTTACCGTGGTCCAAGCGATAAATGCCTCATCTTAGCTAAGTCTGACCACCGCTCCATGAGGGAGACGCTCTCAGTGCCATGCCCCAGGCAGGAACAGGTCTAGAGAGCTTGTCACTGCCCAGGTTGTCACGCCAGTGAGCCAGAGCTCAGCCCTCGCACACTGGTGGTAACGACCAGACGCAGGCTAGTGCTGCTCTGGGACTCGGCTCCCTGGGGGTCTTGCTCTTTTGGGGGAAGTTTGGGCACTGGGGTCCCTAAACTGGGGCACTCATTCCCTTTGCATCTACGGCCTAGGACGACACACACATCCCTCACAGCAGTTCTGGCCACTCATGGGCACCCACAGCGCATACCGGAGGAGATTAAATCCCAGGAGAGCTCAGGGGAGACAGGAAGCCAGCAGCTGGTGGTGGGGGGCACAGTGGCGGGCCAGCCTACCTGGCGTAGGTAGTTGATGGGGAGGACCCGGCCCCCCGAGCTGCTGTGGGTATTCTCCAGGCAAATGAGCTCACAGACTGGGTGGTAGGGGCTCCCAAGGCCCCGCGTGACCATCCTCTCCAGCTCAGCCAGGTCCAGGGTGCCATGGGGCAGGTCTGGGAGGGGGTGGGAGTGCACCCCTGCGATCTGCAGGTGTTGGGGGGGATGAAGGATCAGGTCCAGGAGTCCAGCAGCACCTCCTACCTCTGTCCTTTCTGCTCCTCCCAGCTCTGGGCCTTGAAGCCTTCCCCTTGCGCTGTGGACTTGGGCACAGACATCCCAGGTAAGGAGCGGAAGGAACACAGGCTGTGTGTGCTCTAGAGAGGTTGCTGTCCCTCTGCCTTGGTGCCCTGAGTGCCCACTAGGGGGCAGCAGGGCACCGAGCATGGCCACTGTCCCAACGGCTGACCTGAGCCGTGGCTGCCCCCGTGTGGTCAATCTGGGAACGTCTCTCCTTCCCGCCTTTCTGGAGAGGCCACCATCCCAGCCATTTCTCCCCTCTGCCCGTCCAGACGCCCTGCCTGGGAAGCAGGTTCCCACCAGAAGTGCTGAGCACCCTGCGCTGGCCCCAGGTGAGGGGAGCTGGGTCCTTACCTGAGCCACCCCGCCCTGCTCATAGACATGGAGGTGGCACTCCTGCCCGAGGAGGAGCTGGGAGCCCCGGCGCCGGCAGTGACACATCACTGAGATAGATGGGGTAGGGGGCACTGTTGGCACCAAGTCCCATGGGGCCCATCTGCCCCCACCCAGCTCGGCCAGGCTGAGCCCCAGGTCCACAGCCAGCTCCCAAGTGCCTATGGCAATTAGGAAACAGCGCCCCTTCAAGACACCTTACTGCCACGTGCTGGAAAACCATCCCACTAACTACACAAGTCTAGGACAACAACTCTGAAGCACTGGGCCCTGCACAGCCTGCACCCCTGTGCCCTGCGGCCCACCTGCAGAGCATCTCCTGCACAGAGAAGCCAGCCATGATGCTGCCCATGGAGGACAAGCAGCCCAGGGCACAGGCATCAGCTGGAGTGGCAAGAGACAGGGCACACTGGGAAACCAGAGAGCTTAATAAAGGGACAATTCATAAAGGTGTGGCAGCATATAGGGAAGTCACGAAGGTCAGTGCAGGACCCCCAGGCCAGAAGGGGCGAGAGGAGGTTGTGGTTACAGGAACCTGGAGATGGGGTGGTGTGGAGAAAGCTGCCTGTCTAGCCCAGGGAGACCTCTGAAGGAGGGAGCTGGTGGAGGGGCACGGACATGCTGACTTCACTCTCCTCCCCTCCCTCATCTCTTGCCAGGGGCCCCCCTGGCTGAGATCAACAGACATCCAGAAGGCTTGGGATCCCACTGATGTTGTCACAGCCCCCTGGCACAAAGGAGAGTAGCATGGACCTGGAAGGCTAACGGAAGCCACCCCACACTCACCAGAGATGAGGTTGGCCATGGTGTTGGTGGGCACAAACAAGGTCTGCTCCACCCCCAGCAGCTCCGCAGCCTTTTCCTGCAGCTCTGAGGAGAGGGAAGGGATGGGGGGCAGGTGCTCCATCAACAGTGGCACTCACTCAGAGCTACTTTTCCAAGTGCTCTCCTTGCATTACAACCACGAGCCTGTGTCCAGATGAGGGCACTTCACCCGAGGCTGTGGTGACTGGCCAGGGGGACTGGAGTCCTGGTCTGCCAGCTGCAGTCTGTGGTCTTGGTGACCGCATATCCCAGTCCAGAGGTCCCTCAGTCAACCCTCTGTGCCCCGCCTCCTCCTGGGCCATGGTCTCCCCCCACATGGAAACTCTGTGGTTTGAACCCCCCTGTCCCACCCAGACCTCACACCTGTCTCACTTCCTTTCCCATCAGCCCCTTGCAGGTGGGGCCCTGCGGTTTTTCTGCTGACTTCCTCTCCCAGAATGGAAGGACAGGAGCCCTCAGAAGGGGAGACTCTGGGGGGCCTGAGGGGAATGGGGCTTCTGGCTCCTGCTTTAAATCCCGCTGAGGCTCCCCTGTGCCTGCAGCATCAAGTCTGAAGCCTTTAGCATGACATTCAAGGCCGGCAAGAGCAGGCCTCTGCCTCCCCCTCCAGGGATGGGGTGCCCCCTACACCCCAAACTCCAACCACATTCCCTATCCATATCCTGAACACCTTTCTCACCACTGTGCTTATTTCTGCAGTTCCCCACCTGGTAAGCCAGCACTCCCTTCCCTGCCCAGGGGTTCCACTCACCCTTTAAGAGGCTCCTCTGCAAAGTCCCCCTTCCCATGTGAGTCCCATGCCTCCCCACCCCCTCAGTTCCCAAGGCACTCTCCTAGGACTCCTGTCAACCCCAGCACCTCCCCCACCCTGACAGTGGTGACTGTTTTTTCAGCAGACTGCCTGCTGAGCAGTGGGCTCAGCATCTTTGAAGTTCCAGGCAACAGTGGGTGTCTGCTGGATGTATGACCAGCCCCAGTCACCACCTGACCCCACAGACAGGCCCTCGGGACTCAAGTGGCAACCCTGTGGCTTGTCCTGGCACAGCTGAGGATTGTCCACACCCCAGCAGTGGTTCACAGTGGTGGCAACTCTCAACTCAGGGTGGAGTGTCAGTCACTGTGTCTTAAAACACTCCCTGGGTTATCAGAACCCACTCCTGGGGAGGTGCAGCCTGTGGAGAACTCTGTCTTCTAGATGCGTTTTCTGTTTGTCTTCATGCAGGAAGGCGGTGGGTGCAGGACAACAGCTATAGGTTTTAGAGGGAAGAGACCTGGGTTCAAATCCTGTTTTGCCATTCACTAGGTATGGAACCTTGAGCGCCTCGCTCAGCATCTCAGAGCCCTCCTCTGCAAGATGGGATAACATCCATCTCATCCGGCAGTTGGGCAACACTTTAATGTGCACACGAATCACTTGGTGATCCTGTTAACATGCAGATTCTGGCTCAGCAGGTAAGTGTGGGACCCGAGAATCTGCATATCTAACAGGCTCTCTGGTGATGGGCCAGATTGAGCAGCAAGGATGCAGAGCGCAGCGCTTAGCCTGCCACTGAGCCGCCATCCCTACGCCCCGGGCCGCCTCTCCCGCCAGCACCACGGACAGCACTCTGGGGTCGCTGCGACGACCCCCGGCCCGCACGCCGGGCTCACCGCGGACGGTGGGGTCCTCGCCGTAGTCGTCGTCCCCCACGACCGCCTCGGCCATGGCGCGCCTCATGGCCGGCCCGGGCTTGGTCACCGTGTCGCTGCGCAGGTCCACCACGTGCGCCGGGACCCCCGCCCAGCTCCCAGACCCCCGCGCCCAGAGGGCCCCGTGCCACTGGGCCGCGGTCCGGGCAAGTCTGCGGAGCATGGCGGGGGCAGCGCCCAGCCACCTGCCACGACCCTCCCCGGTGACGGCGACGGGGAGCCGCGGTGTCGGGGCGGCGGGACTTCCTGGACCTCGTCTGCGGCTGACCCGGACAGGCGGGAGTTCCCCGGGAACGCTGGGAGTTGTAGTTCGGGCTTCGTCGCGTCAGCCCCGGGAGAATCCGGGCGGGAGGGCCCCGCGGCATGCTGGGAGTTGTAGTTCGGCAGGGTGTGGGAGAGGGAGGGTTCTGCTTACTGAAGAAGAAAGCAAGGCCGGGCAAGGTTTTGTAGAGCAGACGCTCATGTGGCTCTTACCATATGCCAGGCACTGTACAAATGCTAAGGCAGTAAAGACAAGTACTATTATCATCCTCGTGGGGAAACTGAGACGTACAAAAGCTAACGGACTGCCTAAGGTCACTTGGCGGGGAAGTGGCCAGGCCCAGAGTCCGGCTCTGAACCTCTGTGTTGCATTCCCACTGAAAAGTAGCTTCCCATCACTTACGTTTTTCAATACGGATCTGTTGAGTACCTGCTCTGTGCCAGGCAGAGGGACACAAAGACGGTGCAGCCGGTGCGAGCGTCTGATGTCACGGAGCATGATGGGAGGCAGAATTAGAGGCGTGCGTAGAAAGCCCCCTCCTCCATCCCCCCTGCCCTTGAGGGGTGGGCTGTCTCCACCAAGAGGTGGTGTGGGTAGTGGTGAAGGGCACCTGCTGACTCAAGCCCCCGCTTACCGGTGTGCAGCTTTGGACAAGCCGTGAAGTCTCCCTAGCCGAAAAACGGGCTGTTTTTAGGATTCGATGACTTTGCGTGTTTTGTGCTGATGTTGGTGCCTGGCTGGTGGTTAGAGCGTGGAGGGGCCGGCCCCGTGGCTTAGCGGTTAAGTGCGCACACTCCGCTACTGGCAGCCCTGGTTCGGGTCCGGGCGCGCACTGAGGCCCCGCTTGTCCAGCCATGCTGAGGCCATGTCCCACATACAGCAACTAGAAGGATGTGCAACTATGACACACAGCTATCTACGGGGGCTTTGGGGAAGAAAAGGAGGAGGATTGGCAATAGATGTTAGCTCAGAGCCGGTCTTCCTCAGCAAAAAGAGGAGGATTGGCGTGGATGTTAGCTCAGGGCTGATCTTCCTCACCAAAAAAAAAAAAAAAAAAAAGAGTGTGTGAGAGTGTTTGCTCACTTACTGCTGCTGCTATTATCATCGTTTCTGGTTATAGCCCGGGGCCTGGGGCCTGGTGCTGCTGCATGAGATGCACCCTGACTCGGCTGGACTGGGCCTCCTACAGGCTGCAAGGACAGCCTGCCCTCGGAGCTCAGGTCCTCAGGGTGGGGACAGGATGCTGCCCGGGAGAGGAGCAGCACCAGGGAGAATGTCGACGCTGGGAGAAGCTGCAGTGAGCCTGGTCAAGGCATCAGGGCTGGCTTCCTGGAGGAAGCAGTGATTGGGCTGAGCTTTGAAGGCAGAGCAGGGCGTTAATCAGACAAAGGCAGAGGGGAGAGTGCTCCAGGCAGAGGGAACAGCATGGGTAGAGGCTGGGTCAGGAGGCAGCTGGAGCGTTTGAGGCCCTGAAAGAAGGCTGGCCTGGCTGGAGACGTGAGCAGGGTGGAGATGGAGCCCACAGCCACGTCCGGGTTGGGCCGCCTCCCTGGAGCTCTCCACCGCTCCCCCCGGGCCTGGTGGGGCCATCTTGAAAGAGCGGAAATCGCAAGTTCCTGTAGGGTCTGTGGCCCCAAGGACCCTCATCTAAAGGAAAGACTCACAGTGCCCTCTCCAACCTCAGGGCCCCTCTGGCCCTGACCCGCAATCTTCACCGAATTCCAGGCCCTTCGAAAACAAGCCCCTTATCTCAGTGTCTGGCTCCAGCCCTTCTGCTGGGAAGTGGGGGGTGGGGAGCAGAGGCCTCTGTGGGAAGGAAGGGAGGGGTTGGAGCAGCGATGGTGGCTCTCAGGGAAGTGGGGAGAAAGGGGCAAACAGCTGGACCCCCAGGCACCTCCCAGCCATGGCAGAACCACAGGATGGCCTTCTGTTTGCAGGTTCTTCCAAGTCTTCCCAACCACAGCCTTCCTGTTAATCCTCACAGCCACCTCGGGGGAGGGAGACTGGGCAGAGCGTTTGGGGCAACCCAAGAACGCCACCAAGGCGACACAGCTGGTCACTAAACGGGCCTTTCTCTTTCCACAGCAGAACTGTCTCCCCAGAGACCTGGCCCCTTCCTAGGGGAAGGTGGGGCCCAACAGAGGTTGCTTCTGCCAGGTGGCTGCTTGTCACCTCCTACCCAGTCCCAGGGCACCTGGGCCAGCCCCACCTCGACACAGTGGTAGCTTGTCCCAGAGTGGAGGGAGCAGGAAAGGTGGGCTATCATGGGAGAAGTGTGGGGGCCCTCACTGGGGCAATGAAGTATGTTTCTGAGGCCTTGTCATGGGGGGGACCCTCTAGCCAAGGCTTGGTCTCAGGGGGTTGTCTAGGTGTATATGTGTGTGTGAATGTGTTTCTGTGTATATGTGTGTGTACATGTGTATAAGTATTGTTTACATGTGCACACATGTGTATACATGCACACACAAATATGTGGCTTGTAGGTGTGTACACGTGTGTATGGGTATGTGTGTTTGTGTGGGGTGGGTATGTGGGTGGGTGTGCCCATTTGTGTGTGTGCCCATGTATATATATATGTGTATATGTGTGTGCAGGTGCATATGTGTGTCCCTGGCTGCGTCTGAGATCTGAGGGACAGTTCACAGCCCCCAGGCCCAGGTGAGAAACCAGAAGCCCCTTGTCCAGCCCCCTCACCAGCGGCCATCCCTGGAGGGCATGGGGTCGTCTCCTGCCTCCGTGCAGACCTGCCCCATCCCCCAGGTCAGCTTCCTCCTTCTCCCCCAGCTTCTCCCCTCCTGCGCCCCTGCCCCCTGGCCTTATCCTTTCAGCCGCCTCCCTCACACCATACCTCAGCCTGATTGCAACATTTCTGTTCCCCGAATGCGCTGGCCTCTCTCTCGCCCCCAGGTTTTTACACCTACTCTTCTTTCGACCTGTGTCTCTGGTTACCACCTTCTCAGTCTTCAGGTCTCAGCTGAGATGCTCCTTCTTCCGGGAAGCCCCCCTGACCCCAGGGGAGGGAGGTGGCCCTCCTTCTGGGGTGCCAGTAGCATCTCTTCTCACTCCCGCCAGTTATGGGCAGGGGTCAGGACACTCTTGGCCATTGGAGTGTCCAGTGTGCACAGCTCACTACTGACTCACAGTTCTCGGTAATTCCAGCTGAATGACTGACAAAGGGGGAATGCTTGATTCAACTTCTCCCGACCCTGGGACCCGTGGGCAGCATGGACACTGTCGAGTGAGGCAGGGAGCTTTGTCAGGAGCTCTGACTTTGGAGGACCCTGGGTCCTTGTGCAGGAGGAGGCCAGAAATGGATGAGGAACGGATGCTGGTCCTGCCTCGGTCTTTCCATGGGGGAAGGTCTGGGGGTCCCCAAGATAGCCCCTTCCCTGGCCTTCTTGAGATATCTGTTTGCTGCTCCCCAGAGCAGTGGGAGGACACTGGACAGACTTGCAGGGAGAGCGAGATATGAGTCCTGGGGTGGCTGCCTCTATGGCACCCCCAGGCTCCCTGGCACCCCTCCAGGTGCAGGCTCTGGGGTGTGGGCGCACACTCACACACGCACGAGCCGAGTTCAGCGTGCATATTCCTGTAATGCTGGGCTGCTGGCAGGAAGTGAGCAGCGGGGAGGCTGCTGCTGGGAACCCAGGGCTGGCCCCGCTGAGATAAAGGGAGGCAGCAGATTGGAGCTGGAGATAGCAGCCCCGGGTCCTGGTAAACAGGTTGGGGGAAATGTCATTCCCATCCCATCCTCTTGGCTCCGAGCCTGCAGGATCTATAGGGCGCTGGCCTGGGTCCAGGCCCAACAGCCTGGGAGTTATGGGAGAGCTGTTTGCACCATCATCTCCCCAGACTGGGGGGGTTGCAAAGGACAGAGCACTGGGCCTGGGGGCCCTGGCCAGGCACACACTTGGCCCCTGTGGGGGCCACCCTATGTCAAGGCCACATGTGCTGTTGGGAGGGAGGGATGGGGATAGAAAGACAGCTTCTCCATGCCCCTGCACCTCCCCAACACGGGAAGGAAATGAGACAGCACATCAGTGGGTCGCCTTCAGAGCTGTCTTGGGAACTCCAAACGAGGAGACCAGGAGAGGTTGGGGGCACTGAGGGGGAGAAGGGGCTGCACCCCACAGCTCAGCAGGCAGAGTCTGCAGACAGCCCACGGTGGGCCTGAGGTTATGGCAGCTGGGAGACCCTAAGCTGTCCAGGCCAAGGGAAAACCACAGAACTTTCATCTGCGCTCCATCAGCTCCGGGATCGTGATTGCTGGGGTGGGGCTGGGTGGGAGTCCGCGTGGCCGGATCCCCAGGGCCTGGCATGGTGGGCGGTCAGATACACTTGTGTTTTCAAAAAAGTTGTAAAATATCACACAACATAATACAGAAAAGCGCATGACATATATTTGTACACTTTTACAAATAAATACAAATGTAAAATGAACTCCCATATCCTTGCCACTCAGATCAAGAAATAGAACATGGCCAAGATTCCAGAAGTTTCCTTGCCATTCAGAACCCCTTGCTCTGCCAGAAGTTACTGCTACGGTCTGAATTTATGATCATGACCTGCTTTTCTTTACGGTTTTGCCCCCATGGATGGATCCCTCAGTAATGGCAGAGTGCTGGCGGTTTTTGAACATGATATAAACTGAGTCAGCATGTGCCCTCATATGCCTGGCTCCTTCTGCTCCACATTACGCCTGCAAGATCTATCTGTGATGCAGCTGTAGTTCATTCTTCGCCACGGCCGCGTAGTTTTCCACAGTGTGCTAGACCACAGTTTCTCTCTCCTTCCTACCTGTTTCGGGACCCTGGGCTGTTTTCAGATTTGGTTTACCAACAGTGCTGCTGCGAGCATGAGCGTTGTTTCCTGGGGCGCACGTGCGCACGCTTCTGCAGGGT